TGTTATATCCCAGTGTTCCCACTTTGCTTTTGAGACAGTGATTGCCGAGTCTGAATTTACACAATTGTTCTCTTATTTTGATGTTTTCAAACTCAAATTCTGCTGATACCGTTGTTGTTACCATTAATTTGCTAGTGACATTCTTATTGTGTTCCTATGTACAATTAGTGTTATATCTTACTGTGAAATACTTTATTTTAGCCAGAATTAATTATCGCTATCGCTATCATTAATATTGTTATATTCAAGTGTAATGAATAAATTATGTTAATTTGGGTCAATCTACGTCATCACATGGTCGGCATTGACCAATCAGTGTTTGTTTTACTTCTGCTCGCGTTCAGGTCAATTCCTGTTTTGTTAGCGTTTCTGTTTCAGTCGGACATTTTCTTACCGCTGTATTTTAGTGGAGTCGTTGTTGGAAAAAAATTGTATACAGGTTGCATATTGTTTCGTTATTCGACATGTCTGCATTTCTATGAGGCTATCCCAAATGTATAATTTTCAACTAATTCATCAAAAATTCTCAAAATAATCCTGTTTATACTTTTCTTCAGAAAAATAGCCACATTTTTTGATAAAAAACTTAAAATTGACTGAAATTTTGTCTAATGGCTCCAAACTTATGGTTCATTTTTAGAAATATTAAAGAATATTAGAAAAAAGTGCGGATAAATTTGGCAAGAAAGTCTGGTGGTGAAAATATATATAGTATTCAAACAGTAAACTATGTAGGTTTTCTGTTAACAGGATTGACTAGCTGCAGTGTTGACTGTTTACTGATTTTATCGTTACCAATAGCTAGAGCCAATTCCCTTGTGGTTTACATTTGTATATCTATAACTCAGTTAATATATTGCTCTGAATTTTTCAAAATTTATTATGGATACATAAGGTTTAGTTCAGTTTAAGAATTTTTTGGTTTGTTTTCTTAACCATAGATTTGTTGTACCATTTTTTTTTTTCAATCATACAAAACTTTGTGTCAAATAAAATATCTGTCTGTTTGTCTATGTGTCTCATTTAGCATAAGAATAAAAAAGTAACATATTTATATTTCAGTTAATGCAAGGCAAGATGGCTGACATGTACACTCGTCTCAGTGCATGCAGGTCCTATGTATATGGTGTGGCTAGGGCCTGTGATGCTGGTCATATCACTTCAAGAGATTGTGCAGCCGTTGCTCTGTACGCTGCTGAGAATGCAACGCAGGTCGCTTTAGATGCATACAGTGTCTTGGTAAGTCTTCGACCATCTTTTACATGTAGTGCTCCAAGCTAAATGTAATTCCTTGAATACTGTTAAACATAAAACCTAAAAGCAGCGATTTTAATTGCATACATACTTTATGTTCTCATTTACGTTTTATTTGTCTGAATGAAATATTTTCATGAGTAATTAATCACCTGGTCTTATTGGTATATGGGTTCACAATTTAACCTCAAATGGATGTTGACTTCTTGTTGAGAGTGAGAGAGTCACAAGTCTTGTTTTGACCCCAAAAAAAGTGTTCTATCCTCAAGGTGGAGCTACGTCACAAGACGTTCCACGTTGCTAAGACGTGCACCACTGTACCACGTATTTTTATGGGCTCTGCACGCGCTGCTTAGGAACATGGAACACTGAACGTAGAGCCAGTGAAAATTTGAGAAATCAACAGGAACTCAACTTTGAAGTAATCCCGAACAATCAAATTTATATGCGTTACACACGCAGGGGTAATCTTGTTATACTGTTCAGGGGAGTCTCAACAACCATCCCAAAGTACCATTTTCTGAGAGTTTTCGACCTTTGTTTTCACTGTGTTGCCATGCGGTGAAAATGCCTCGATGTCCGCCCCCGAGAATACTCTTTCGTCATCAGGTACGCTGTTTTCTTGATCTATGTAACCATGGTTACATTTGGAACATTGGATGCAAGGACACCCAATAATAGAACACTCGTTTAGGGGCATAAACAAGTCTTCTGTCTTTCTTTGGGGACCATTTGCATCTAAGAATTAGTTATTGAAAGATAGAAAAAAGTCAATAATCAATTATTCAGAAAATTGTAAAAGAACATTTGAGGTGTAAATTAACTGTCGTACACTTTGTAAGATTTGGGGAAAATACAAAAATTAAGGGGTGGTTCTTAACGCAATAATCATGTTGTAATTATCAGAATGCAAACATTTCTATCGGTTTAATGGTTTTCTGTAAATTTGTCATTAATTACAGGAGGGAATGGTTACATCAATGACTATGCTACAGGTAGACTACTCAGAGATGCCAAATTATACGAAATTGGAGGCTGTACCAGTGAAATACGAAGACTTCTTATTGGCAGAACTTTTAACCAATTATATAAATAGTTGAGAGTACTCGGCATATGCATGTATCAATTCAAAACGTGCCACTCAGGCCTTTCTTTCTGGTTCCTGCGAAAATATTATAAAAAATAGGCAAAACCCAGGGAAATATTTTTTTTTTTACTTAAGGATGATATTTAAAAAATATTCTCCACAAATTCGTGAAAAATATACTTTTGCAAGACTTATTGATAGTGATAAGTAAATAAATTACTCTCAGTGTTTAAATTTCCAGTAAGGCCGTTGCTGATTGGCTCCTAAGTTGGAATGACAATTTCGTTTTTTATTACCCAGAAAATTGTTTTATGTTATTTGTGTAATTAGGTGATCGTATGCAAGGGATTTTTCCACACAAAAACTATGAATCAGTCAAATGTTGTTAGCAGTTGGCCTAATATCTATGAAAGTTTTTTTTTTCCTGATTTTGATGTTTTTCAACTTGTCTCTTATTTAGTTTCATGTCGTATTTATAGTAAATATTGATGAATTAGTCGCATTTATTTTATTATCGCTTGTACGCCAGCTGACTGTGTGTTTAATATGTATATTATGTAAATGAGAAATATAACGGGGAGATTTGGAATATTTGGTATTTATATTATATTATAAGGTTTCTTATTGTTATTAATAATGGATATAAATAAGGGATTTTGATATTCACACTATACTCAACTGTAATATCATATAGCAGTATTATAATACGTCTGAGTATTTAAATAATTGTGTGCTCGTTCATATCCAGGTATGGTGCTCACTCTATTAGAAGTCGTATGATCACATTAAAATATTACTTAATTTTATGATCAAAACACTTTCATAATATTCCATATGGGATTCATAGCGACGTACACAATGCGTGTAAAATATATCGTTTCTTTACATGAAATTCGAACACCCGCTATGTGACGAGAACCACCCTTTAAATAATCATATGCATATAGTGATGGAGCAAATACAGTATGCTGATAGTTCTTCATACTATGGATTTCTGGTTTCATATAAATATTTCACTGCGGTACTTAAGACATTGACTCACCATGACTTTCACTGGGGGATTAGGTGCCATATGTGAGCGTTGGTTCGAACCTCGCACACAGTACGTGCTTACTATAATTTGACATAGTATTTACCATGCCGTGTATTTACCTCTGCAACTGGACAGGTTATACTAGTGTTTGAAATTACTGTCCACCTGTGTGCCCGGCGATGGGTAACTATTCTATTATATAACATGTGTCAAAACTATACCATATGTAAAATAGTCCATGAGCGATGCATGAATTACCGAACTTTCACACTAAGCATGATTCTAACACTCACAAAATGCGAGAATTTCAGTTGACCTGACCTTTTCAGAACTGGAGTTGATATATCATTTTGCTTGGTGTTTTGACACTGTATTTTAAAAATGTTGAGTCAACGAGTAGAAAGTGTATTGTAAGTATTTCTGACTTGAATGAAAGTCACTGCAGTGACATTGATTGAAAAAAATGTGGTAAAACGATTGAAAATATTGACAACATAAACAGAGCTGGTAAATTTTTAGTATGGGCAGCTAGTTTTTATAGTTCTCTGCACTGTTGTCTGTAAACTATTTTCGCAAATT